AAATGTAGTTTTTTCTGCTGAACGAAGCCATTATCAAATAGTTTTTTAACTCAAATGTTAAAACCTTTATTTAATGAAAATTGATATTGGTAAAAAATGAGAGTGAAATTTGAGATAAAAATTTTGCTTGTGCCAAGAAAGACTCAGATTGCAGATGGAGAATTAATTTATTCATTACCTTTTTCTAATATTTAGAACTAGAAAAAGATAAAAAAAGTAAGTTAAATCAAGTAATTTATCTACAATTAGTAAAAATAAACAAAAATTGCTTATAATATTTTTTCTACGTATCGAGCGACAAGAAATTAATAACTCTATACACGCTATAAACAAGAACAGGTATTAAGCTAATATTAATATTATATTTATAGTATGACAAATTTTTCAAGCGTGTTAATTGATTGCAGGACAAGGTTGCAGGAAAAAAGAAAGATCGTTCTCGAATTTCTTTATTTTATCCAAATCAATTAATAAGCTTGAAAAATTTGTCGTGCGACAAAAATGTAATATCAGCCTTATTCCGGTTCCACCACTTTAATCTCGGTGGAATTTACTCTTTATCTTTTTCTAATTCCAAGAACTAGAAAAAGATAAACAGTAATGCCTATTTTTACCAATGTAAATTAACTTTAATTTCAGTTCTTACTCTTCATTTTTTTTTCTATTCGAAGAATTAAAAAAAGATGAAGCGTAAGTTGAATCGAAATTAATCTTATATTGATGGAATCGGATCTAAGTGAAGCCGAGATGAAAGTTAATCTCTTATATTGGTGTAACCGGACCTTCTCTGTACTTGACAAGTTAATCGCCGATTGAATTAATCGAAGTTTGTACTTTCCAGTAACAGACACAGATGACACGCTGTAACACAGCGATTAATCATTACATCCTTATTTTTTGTCGATGTTGAACACAGATGAAATGATCGCTAGCTACGTTAAGCATCATTTATACGTACCGTAAGGACTAAACTGTTCCCAGCAAACGAGAATGTATTGAAATGAATTGAAATGGACTCAGATTTTCAGAAATATGAATTCATGAATGTTAAAATGAATGCTTTTCAAACATGAATGCATTTTTATTCATTTATAGGAATTGCATGGAGCATATCTCTATGCCTTTCAATCTAAAAATAATATCAGCTTTTTCTGTGCATTGTGAATGCTGTTTAATTCAAAATTTTGAATAGGAAGTGCAATTTTTCAATTCCAATTGCATCCAATTGAATCCAATTATAAATAAAAAAAAGTATTCGCTATTTAAAATACGCATTCGGATAGAAAAAAATTTGAATTCATTTTAATCCAATCTCGTTTACTGGGAACTTATGCCGTAAGCTATATAATAAGAAATTGGCCATTTTAGTCGAATGTGAGGAGAATAATCGGCCTCGTTCTCCTCGCATTCAACCATGATTGGTGAATTTCTTATAAATTGATCAATTTCTTATAAATAATTTCTTACACTGTGTCTTTTACTGGAAAGCACCGTTTGATTGATGAAGAATCATCCCGGATTCGTGAAAGGATTATTATTAATTGACACGGTGCTAACCGGATTTCCTATCTCTTCGCGGCAAGGGGGTCAGAGATCGCGATGATGACGAAGGAAAATCGTAGACTACGCGCAGCAACTGCAGTATACTCGATCGCGATCGGTCAAGGCAGCTCGTGCGGCTCGGTGCAGCTGCAGCTGCAGTGCTGCAGTCGCATAATGACAGATGTCACGTGGAACGACGATCACGGTGGGGGAAAAAATAGTGGAGCGGGTAGGGGAGCTATCTTCCCTCCGCGCTTGTCAACAATATGGCTCCGTAAACGCCGCGTTCGTATCGAATCGCGTGACCAGATGTTGCTCGAGACAGCAAACGCAACGAATGTGACGAGCCTCGCTGGCGGTGCGACGGTACCCTCGCGGCCGACATAGCCGCGGGTGAAAGTACGAAGAATAAGAACGCGATGCTCGCGAGTTCCTAACCTGGCGATGACCTGGCGATTTCGAGCGTTGTGCGGAGTTACCGCGACGTGAATTTCTGTATCTACGCGAATTACGTAAATTCCTCGTAAAATTCCACTCTGCCCCTCCTATGTCATCGAGAACCTCCGAAATGGCATGTCCAGTGGAACGACTGAGGTAAGGAATAACTGGGTCTGTTACACGTTTCTGATACTGTAAGTTATATCTCGCGGAGAAAATAGACGCAATCTGTTTCTTAATACGTTCCTTTTAACACCTCATAGAATTTACTTTGTCACGTACAATGTGGCTACAAAGTTCCCGGATCCCAGAGAGGATCTTCATCAGCTTCTGGGTATTACGCCTTGCGACAAATCAAAGTTCTTGTGGCCAGATTTATATTTCATCGGGTACGTTCAGAATGTTTCTCTGCATCAGATTTAACGATAAAGTGTGTGTTCTTTTAGTTTACAGGAAGTTAAATCACAACCACAAAATTTGGTATTAGACTATATACTGTTTGAAGATCCGTGGACTAAAGCCTTTAGGTAAGTCTGTTACAATGATGCAACTTATATCGAGAATATATAATTATTCACTATGTATATTCATTTAGGATATGAAAATTAAATGCGCTAACATGTTTGCAGAGATGTGCTAAAGAAGTATGATTATGTAAAAGTACGTTCGCAACGGTTGCAGGGTCTTGTTCTGAATGTTTTCTGCCTGAGGAAACATTTGACACATTTGAGATTGATAGAAACTCAGTATACCAAGACAGGTTTCGGTGGCATATGGGTAAGAAGACAGTGTAACAGTAGCAATTGCTGTTGCACTAACAACAATCTTGCTTGTTTTTAGGGTAACAAGGGTGCAGTGAGCATAAGAATGAACACCTACGGGGTCAGCATTTGTGTGGTGAACACACATTTGACTCCCCATGATCATTTGTTAGCTGATAGAATATCAGATTATAATACTATCGTGACAGATCACACTTTCACTGCTCCGTTTACATCGAGAATATTATATCATGAGTATAAATATTTTTATATGGAAATAGTATTGTATCATTCAAGTAAAATTAACTGCATCCTCGGTAATAATATACGTATCTCCTATTAGCTATATATTTTGGATTGGTGACTTAAATTTTCGGCTCAATGGAGAGGAATTAACTGCCACTGATATAGACTTATTGGTGAAAAAGAAGCGATTGAAGGAACTCCTCGAAAGAGATCAGTTGATGATGGTAATGAAGGAGCAACAAGCTTTTGCTGAACTGAATGAAAGTAGTATCACATTCCCACCTACCTACAAATACGAGTTTGAGTCTCAAGAATTTGATCTCAAGTAAATTATACTGATTAAATATGAGAAAAATTTATAAATATTTCTTTTAAATGTTTTGATATGTTTTATATAATATTATTTTGACATGTTCTATAATTATTTCCCACGTAGGCGTAGACCATCATGGACTGATAGGATTTTATATAAAGTAAATGCAGCAGATATATACGAAGATATAGAAATTCATACTGAGCAGCATACTTACAAAAGCCATCCTGATTACAGTGTCTCGGATCATAAACCTGTAACTGGAGAATTCGATATCGTGGTAAAAATATAATTTTGCTATAATATATATTTCTCCTTATCAAGCTAAATGTGAATGATAAAACTTATTTTAGGTCAGACCTAATGTAGAAGAAAACATTGTGGAATTCCAAGACTGTATCGTGGAGGAAAATTTTATATCTTACAAAATACAAAGAGATTTTATCCCAAGCAATGGGGACTGGATAGGTCTCTTTCCTAACGAATTCTCCAGTCTAGATGATTACATCATTTACGAATATGTTAGTCGCGGTAAGTTTCTTATTCCATTACACATCCTGCTGTTATTTTATGTTATTGTTGCTATTTAGTATTGCTATTCATTCTTCTAATAATTACCTAATATCCAGGTAAACCAATGTCAGTTTCTGACGAACCTCACGCGAACACGGAACGAATATCGTACAATGATTCGGCGCTTCGTCTGTCGGAAATGTACTGTTTGGTGTATGTAGCTCAACGAGGATATCTTATGGAAGTTTTGGGAGTGAGTCCAGAATTTTCAGGTCCTCATAGATCAGTCGAACAATCTACATAAATTTTATAGCAAAGAATCAATTTACTTAAAAAAATTCACTTAAAAAGAGCTTACGCATGATCGGTATTCCATTTTGTTCAGAAATTAAATACCAAGCTGTGTGCAATTTCCTAGATGGACGGAAATATTTTTTTATTTGATTGTTATCATTCTATTATCACAGTTTTTTTTTTAATAACGTTTTAAGGGTGAAATAGGTTCACTACTTCTCTAAGTTGTGTGAGTAGGAAAGTTAAATGAATCGAAAAATATGGCCTTTAATGAAAGGGTGCTTTTGGTACGGTATAGTAAGTTTTACAAATTAAACACGAAACAATGTTTCGTATAGGAGTTAGTTGTTACTTTTGGTACCTGGTTTTGCGCTCTCAGGGTGCGTTGCGGCGTATTTAATCGTCCGCTTTAGAGCTTTCAGTGAGTGCACCGTCACGTTTTTCTGCACGCAAGATCTTTCGCGATCCATTAACTTGTTGTTAGAAAATAGGCTAGGTATATAATTATATTTTTTCCTGCCTCCCGAGCGTTAATGGGTTACGTGGTACGCGTGCGTTAATGGTACGCGTGCGCTCACGTTGTATATCATGACTATTTCCTTAGCATAATTTAGTAGATTTAATTATGGCAAGGTACGTTCGTACTATACAAATTCTCACATATTGTTTGTTATATATATATACATATATATATAGTGCGCCGTCAGAACAAATTAAACGAACAAATGTACACTATGGTTTCAAAGGGAACGCAAGAATAAAGGATATTAATATTTGTTATTTATTTTGACTCATTTGCCTCGTCGTTCTATTCCATGCACAATTTCTTCAATAAATTATAATGTCTACTACGACAATAAATAATGTGCTAGCTACATACGGAACATTATTGACGTATTTGTGATGAATTTATAATTAGTGTATAAACACGTTTTGACGTATTCTATTCAATATTCACTATGCTGCGCTTTTGTTTAGATTTAATTTGTTGGTAATGTATAATATTAACATAACGTGTCATACCGGATTCATGAAATAAAGGCTTCGCACAATAATATTATTGTATCGCATTGTTGTTTCGTTCAACAATAAGCAATGTATAAGTACACAAAATATGGTAACATTATCGATGTGAACATCGACTCGCGGCGTGAATTGAAGAACTACAAGTATTATCGTTAATACCACTATGGTTAATACTGCGATGTATAATCATTTAGTCGCACTTAATGAATATCAATTTAGGATTACAACCGGTTCTCACACTTATTTAATTGCGCAAATTACATTCTTATCATTTGAGATCCTTGAGCGAGATCCATCCGTTGTTTATCTCCACAGTTGTGTAATTAGCGCAGTAACATCGCAATATGTACTATATTTCGCGGAGGTGGACGAATAATGCGTTATGTAACACGTTACCTTGCAGAAAAAGATTTTCACATAACATCGCGAAATACTTGTAATTCAACGCGCGCAAAGTCACGTCGTTTCCTCTGTCGATGCATTTTACTTGAAATTAAAACGCCTCGACATGCGCATTGATATTTACAATTAGATTATTGCAAAAAAGACTAGAAACTATTACTTATAAAAATTGTGATTCAATTAAATATTTATAAATAATCTCCTTTAGGCGAAAGTTCCGTGCATCGGATCTCGCTAGTTAACTTGAGTGAGTTTCTCGAGTGATTTCCAACGAAATCACACCAATATTACAAGATATTACACCAATATTACAAGATATTTTATATCTCTTCATGAGCGTCACCGTTCGAGAAGGTCGCTCTGTGTTGCACACAGCGAAATTAAAATAACTTTCATCTCATTGACGTGAGACCATATATCCCGGCTCCTTCCTTTTGTCGGTCCATTGGTTTATCGGTTTATCGATCGCTTTAAGTTTACAGTCGATATCACTTCAGCCTGTATTAAATGCATCATCTTGTCATGTTTAGAAAAAGATCAGTCTTTTTCTAAAAACTTTTCTAAGAATCATTATAAGATCTCTCTGGAATATCGCCATTTATTACGGGTAATAGTGCCAAGTCCATGCTTCCGACGTTTAGTTCTGTGGTGTTTATTCCCCGTATCTTCTGTATTCTATGCCAAACGAGGTCCCTGATAGGTCTTCTCAGAACGAACAGACCGAAGATGAGAACACCCTGAAGCGCGTTCACCAAATCGAACGCCGTCCAGGCGAAAGGATCGCCGCCAACTCCCCAAGAAATTAATTCCATCATCCAATTGAGACCCATCAAAAAGAAGAGTGCAAGACAAACGATGAAGATCCGTTTGAGTTTGCGGAAGAGCTTCTGATCCTCCCGGTCGGAATGGTGATTCCTCGCCAAGCGTCTCAGCGCAAGCACGTGCTGGTACCGGCTGATCTTGATGGCAGTGATTATGAAGAGGATCGTGTTCGTTAACAGAAGGATACCGACTGGTACGTAGAAATACGGCATGGCCGCCGCATCGGCTATAAAAAGAGCGATAATAATTAACACTCTCACTTCTTCTGATACTGAACGAAGATAATAAGCTAAGATGTTGAAAACAAAAAGTTTTAATAAGATAATTTTATATTAAGATGATAGGAATTGAGCCACAATGATTAGATCGAATCGCACGTATTTATTTTATCTGTGAGAAGATATATTTGACCTTCAATTTAGGTCTTTTTTGGCACAAGTGAAATTTCTCCGAAGAAAGACTGAATCCGATTCCTTTATTGCTAAGTTATACATATTTCCATTTTTTCTTCATTTTTACTAAAATTTCAATTTTTTTAAATAAAGGTCTTAACATTTAAGTTAAAAATCTATTTGGTAATGTAATAGAAATGTTGAAAAGTAACTCTGAATTTTTCCACATGTTTTGAAAGTCTAGAACAGTAAAGAAAATTTAGGACTAGACAAAAAAGACTCAGATTGTAGGCGGAGGGAATGAAAATAAAATTGCAGACGGAGGATACCAAAGAAGCTTTTCTGGTATACGTATTCGTGATGGCGATGAGACGTAATTACAAGATTCTGTAAATGGATTGACACTTACATTTGAACCAGCAGCTCTCGCTACCAAAAGCGGGTTTGACGTAGGTCGTGGGTATTGTTGGAGAGAGATCCATCGACATCGAGACGAGAATGAGGCCTGCCGGGAAGCCCCAGGCCCATATCGAGTAGTAGAAGAACAGCGTTTTAGGCTGGATTCTCCTATACGAGCGCTGGTTCACATGATGGTGTACCAATGCCCATGTTTCGATGCACATCACATTCAGCCAGAAGAAGCAGGCCACAAACGAGAATTGGATGACGAATGCTGAAAACGACCCCGATCGCAGTCACTCAATCAATCTACTTATCATTCGTGTGTCGTCATACTTCCTAAAGCGAACCTCCCGTTCTACATGACATCGCCGAAATTATACCACTCACTCATTGTCGGTAAAAGTAACAGTCCAAAGTCCAATATTCGAATTGTACAAGCTTGAAGATTATCAGTTACAACTTTATTACCGTCTATCTTCAAATTTCTATAACGATATTCTTGTAACAAAAACTCGATTGAGAAATTAAATTCGATTAAACGTTCAGGCAGTAGCATAATTAAAAAAAAATTATTTGGATTGAACATTTTTTGGTCGATTTTTACTTATTATTTAAAAAAAAATTGTAATTTTCTATTAGTCATAAATCATATTTTTCTAAAATTGTACACTATATGTACATTATATGTATCTTTATTTAATAGTGTCACGCTTCAACGTGTTTCTCGTTGATAATTAATTATCTTACCTATACTAACGCAGACTTGAGGTGACAACTGCGAGCTCGCGAGTTGCGTAATGGCCAAAGTGATAAAGGCCAGCGCCAAGCAGCCGCAATAGTGGCAAAGGGCTTTCCCGTGGACGTCTCTCAACCTTGGCGTTATCGTGTATGCCGCAATGGTAAGTATCAGAAAAGGAACTGAGATCAGGAGCCCGCAGGCATAAATAGTGACCCGCGGATCCGCGATCAGAATGGCAACATCTGCAAATTGCAATAGTTACGTTCCGTTAAGAGACTCAAGTACGAGGAGACGTGAAAGAAATTACACGTCAATAAATTGTCAATTTTTTGTTATATGGTAAATACAAACTTTTTTACACACCTAAATAAATAGTTCGTTGTACGAACAAGTAACAGTTATTTTCTTGGGTTGAAACATTCAGAGGATTCACAGAGATATTCAGGATTATTAATGAATATCTTTATACGAAATATATAGATGTAGATAAGTGACAGCTAAAAGATAATAGAAGAATGGAAAGATTGTCTTTCTGATTTGTTCCTTTGAAAAACAATTTTACCGAAATTCTCCTATTTTTTAACTTAGTATATCACTTATTTATAACATACGAAGATATCCAATCCTCATTGATAATTCTTCTGAATTTCTCTGTAAATTCTCTGAATGTTTCAACTCAAGAAAATAATTATTAAATATTAAAGAATACAAACCTTGAAAACAGACAAATGCTCGAAGTCCCTCCTCGGGCACAATCTCCATGCAATAGTCCTTACCGGGCATCAACATAATCGGTACATGATCGAGTCGTGGCGCGAAAATGGAACCATTTAGCAATAAATAATACTCATCGTTCCAGTCTTCTCCGACCTTCTTCGGTTCTAGCACGTACCTGAAAATTGCTTCGTCAAATACGTGCGCGTGTACGTGTAAACTTGAAGCGTCGACTTAAGAAAGGTGCTTGAGTGGAGTATTCAAAGTAAATGGAGGTTTAATTTACTTTGAATACCTGCACCAGGATACACACACCGCGATAGAAGATCTTTCCGAGAAACATGTTTCTATAATCAATCACTCATAAGAAACAAGTTTTGCTGTGAGGAAATCATTCCTATCTAATTACTACAGAAATCGCAATAATACTGAAAATAGTAGAAAAGAACAAAATAAAGCATTTTATTTATCATAAGACACTGAATGTGTCGTTGTTTCTCAATGTCGCACCTGTGTATCCAGTGTACCTAACATTTAAACAAGACATTCGTGAACAAAGTTATTATTTGAAATCTAAACCATGTTACAAAAATATGACAAAATTTATCTAGCCGATTATTCAATACAAAACTAATATTAGCTGTGAAAAGCCCAGTAAAAATTACATTTGTAAGGTGTCTGGAAAAAATCATGCCGATTATTAAAGAAATGCAAAAGCAATATTTTTTTAAATATAAATATATCTTTATTTTGCCCACTATGCTTTTATTCAGCATTTTTTTGCTCTTTTATATTTTAAGGTTCCATCTTCTTGAATTTTCTTATATTTCCCGGCAAGAAATAAATCTTTTCAAAATCCGAACTACCTGATGTTTTCATAAATCAATTTAGATTTGTGTTGCAATCTTCATTGTTTATGCAAATGTAATGTATGAGCTGTTACATTTTATCCGTTACTCGATATGTCTATTCTTTATGAATAAATCATATACACTTATCAGCTAAACGGTAGCAACACTTTTTTTCGATTGGTTTCGGAACTTAGCCTTGCTCGTTGAACAGTTAAAGATAAACTGATTAGATCGATAAGTGAGAACCAATTGTTCGGTAAGCAGGCTGCATCGAAAAAAAGTGTTGCGACCTTTTAGTTGATGGATATACAAACTACATACAATTACAATAACGCGAGGATGTCACTGTCATCTGTCGTACTACATATCCGGTGAGATTAAACGTTCCTTTATGATTTCATCTCCGCCGATTATCACACGATATCATCTTTTTATTAGAAAAAGAAAAAAAATATTGACCCCGCACGTTATCTGTCGCATACAGGCAATGAGTGCGCGCGTGGACTCTAACAGCTTGTGAATTACTTTCAATAAGATACACAATTATTTGATATATCATAAGTATGTGAAGAATATAATGTCGAGAGTGAAGTTATCACTATATATACAAAGTGTCCCTAAATTCGCGAATCGAGATATTATATTACAGCAAAAAGATTCTCGAGAAAAAAAAATAATTTGCTAAAAAAGTATTCATTTAAAAGTTTATCATTTGTCGTTGGAACAGTAGCTTCTGAGATATAAAGATTAAAAACTGGCTCATTATAAATTAAACGGTTGTCTATTTCACATCAGTCGCGTGTTGATAATGTTAATGATTGCATACATCACGCGCTCATTAGATAAAAAATTATGTGTGTAACGTCCGGGTAATACCGTGTACATATATTTTAATAGCATTGATAGTATCGTATAAATTAGTAATTTAGTAGCGATATAATATTCCAATAAGTTATATCTATCTTATTCATTACGTTTATCAACAGCATCAACTAATTTGCAATAATGTTACAAGCAATACACGATATTATGCGAAACGTTATACACGATCTATTATCTAATATCTACGAGCGCACGAAGTGCGCGACTCATGGACAGACTACGTAGTCTATAATTAGCCAGTGTTTCACCAGTATATCTCAAAAACTAACTGCTCGAAACGATAACAAATACTTTTATAACTTATTTTTTTAAAACTTCCTTGCTGTAGTATCTTAATTTATATTTTCGGACATCCCGTATGATATCAATTGCAATTTTCCTTGATTAAAGATATTATAAATTCATCTTATGATTTCCAAGTACAATACATATTTAACTTGCAATTATGTAAAGCCTGGTATATTTTCGCACGAGTGTTCTTTGTTTGCGTAAGATTTTCTAAATTTTACGCAGTCTACGAGTTTGGCTAATCGACAGGTCATTTCGAAAACAATACGAAAACAAAGTCTTATCGTAAAATATGGCCAACCAGCGTAGCGTTCCGATTTACCGATAAGGATATCTATAGTATGAATTCATTTTATATAATGTAATGACTAGACATCGGATTCTTATGCAATACTCTTTTTTAGAAAACAGATTGGAAAATAACACCAAAATAAAAATTTGTCTTATATAATAATATATAAAAAACATTCTAACAAGGGAAGTTTCACAACTGTCCGGAACCGATTTGATTCTCCATGAAATATGTTGTTAAACATGAAAATCTAAGAGAGAGAGACACGTATTTTTTTATACGTACGCTAACTCATATTTAAGGGGTGAAATACCCCTTTGAAAAAAATAGTACTCTTGAAACCGTACAACTTTTGTTTAAAAAATTTTTTTCCGTCTTTTATACTTCCGACGGTATTCGGCTCAAAATAGAAATACCATTTTTTTTCAAAGGGGTGTTTTACCCCTTAAACATGAGTTAACGCACGTATAAAAAAATACGTGTTTCTCTTAGATTCTCGTATTTAACAACATACTTCATGGAGAATCAAATCGGTTCCGGACAGTTGTGAACTTTCCTTGTAAGAATGCATATTTATTTGTGCATATTTATATATTTGTGCAAATTTGCACATTTTGTGCATGCTGCAAAAAATATCTGATAAAAATCCGATATCTAGTAATGAATGACCTTCGGTAAGATGATTTGTAACGTGACTTTCCCCAACAGTCGATTCGATCATTCCAATCTTTACGGATCCTTTTTCGTGTTCCCATCTACGTACCTCTTTTTGCAGGGATTTCCCACGAGAGCGGTGAATATCTTACGTTCATCACCGGGCACCAGCGCGCCGGTACTATTGAACTCGCTGAAGAGAGGCGAAAAATACGTCGACGAGTCATTCGAAGAAGCACAAATGGCATTCCCGTGCTTATCTTTTATAAGGACCTCGTCTATGGAGCAACATTTTCCCACTAACGGTGAGTGCTTGTATGCCTCCGGCATTGTGGTTTCATTTTGCTAAAACGAAAATATTGAATGTATTTTGTGTTTGTTGTTGGAAAGACAACTGTCGATATATCTCGACGTTCCAAAATTCTCGGAAAACGCAGCTTGAGACGTGTCGTTAGCATAAATAAGAGAATAATCGTGTGACTAATGACCGAACTTGTAGGCGTTATAGCTTGTCACTTACGGAAATTGACTCCATAACTTTGAAGACAGATTTGAAATCGGGCAAAAAAATTTCAGATTTTCTTCGGAACAATCTTTATATGTATATACGAGCGTAGATCGTTGAAACAACAAATACGTAATATCGCAATTTATAATAAATTAATAAATTAAAAACTAATAAATTAACTGCAGAATTTATTTCGAAGAATTTATAGTTTTTATGTTAATTCACAAGAGTCGCCGATTTGCATTGAGACTCGTTCGCATATCATTTTTTAGACTCTTTGTTTTTCTCAACTTCTCGATTTCTTATGCAACCTCGCAATTCAGGAAAGACCAGGTATTTGCATAAGAGCTTTTACAACCGAGATTATCTGGACAATATCAAGAAACTAGTAGCAAAATCGGCTACTCGATCTAAATATAACTCCGCGAGAGATGCGAAATACATGAAGCTCAGACAAATAAATACAAAATCTATGTTTAGTATGTCATAAATGTGTCGAAAGTGCGTTATACTTACCAATGGGATAGGATATATGGTGGGTATCGCGTCACTCGTGCACGCAATCGGTATCAAAAAATATACGAAAAAGACGTAGACACAAATGAGTCGCATCCTGGACGGTAGTTGCATCTTATCAAAGTCTATCGAGTATCGATTATTGAGAACGTACTCGAAATTTGTGTCAACCTTTAAATCAACGTCAAGCGTTAAATGCGCGTCAAGCACTTTGCATTGAGTATAATCGAACTTTGAATTTGTCAATTATTGAGACTTTGGAAATGGAAATAGTAATTCGATCCTGCTCCGGATGCACCTATGATTACGACGTGCGATACTTGTCGCGGCATTTAGGCGAGACAGACGCTTCCGCTCCTCTTTCGTCACTCGATATCATATTAGATCGTGCGCATTTATCTCGTCACACCCTGGTTGCACTCGCCGATAAGTCTTCCATGTAACGCGTTATTTGTTTGATGACCGGTGCCGGTTTTAATTGAGGATTTCAGTCAGCTTTTTCTCTATTTCTCTCTTGTTTCCTCTTGTGTTTGATTAGCCGGCTTTGCCGTTAGTCAAACAGATAAATCCCGAAGCTCTTGAGAATTATAGAATCGCTAGCGATGTATTATCGGTTGTTTCTCCGATCACCTATTATATCATTATCTTTCACCATCGCACTGATTTTTTCAATGTCTTCGCACGAATGCACGCGTCATCAATCACATTCGATGTCCGTGAAAGCATTGAGTCATCCGGAAATTCCTACCAGATTCAGTAGTCCGAAACACCTACGGCGTCAATAGTAAAAATAAGGAAAGTTTTTTAATTCCTCGATTGATCAACTATATTATACGCAAATGCAACTTTGTATAAAAGCTGCATTTGCGCATAATGCGATTGATCAGTTGAATTTAAAAACTCGCCTATGTTGTATATATATTTAAACGCTAACAAGACAGATCTCCAGAGGACGTTCTTAGGACGTCCGTACTTAGACAGCACAGAATATTTATGATAAATATTCATTTTTTGAAACGTTATATAAATATTTTATACACATTTTATATAAAGCTTTATTCGAAATATTATTAAAAGATAGACTGAATATTTAATGTAATATTTATGATAAATATAAATAAATATTCCTGGTAAGTATTTTTTTACTTGAATAATATCTTATTAAGTATTTCCATAACATTTATTACAAGATTTACAATAAATATTTCATAATATCTATAACAAGTGTTTATGATCTACGCAATCTAAGACCACAAAAATATTTACAAAATATTTAAAATAAATATTTTATAAATATTGTGTGCTGTCTGGGTGTATGTCCTTTGAACATTCTAAGGACACTCCAGAGTGTATCCCGAATAAAGTGTGCTATTAGGAAGATAATATCTATTGCATTTCGTCGTGAGACAACGTGGCTCGCTCGAAATTTAAATCAAGATTTAAATCGAGATTTTTGAAGGAATGATTTCTCGAGAAACGAGATCCTCGCTCAAATGTTCAGCTATTTCGCAATCCTGACAGGATTAAGACAATTTTATTGACACGACGGAGACGTCATTTTCAAGAATTAGGAATGTCGTATCAAGATGACAAGCAACCGTTGACGAATGGTCATTGACCTGTAATTCCCGCTATTTTATTATTCAAGAGACTCGTAAAGAATGATGAGAAGCGAACCTTAACGTAGTCCTGCGGTAATTTCCGCTTATTAACTCAACTTCTGTATATTACATTTCCCCTCTTATTTCAAGCCGGTCTTCGAAATTGACATCTCCACGTGTATATAGAGAAGGTAAACTTACGTGAAACTGTATGGGAAATCCGTAGATCTTCGCTGTCGTACAGTGCCCACGTGCGCGATCGGTTGTCTTTTGTGAATTAATGAATTATTGAACACCGAGTACAGCGGTTAATTGATTATAAAGAATCCATGCACATAGATACACACACATAAACACACGCTCGCTTGTATTTAATCGTTCAATCTTTAAAAAGTACCATTTTCCTCAGTCGAAGTGTGATAAGAACTCTCGGCACTTGATATCGATTTTTCCATAAGATTTCTCACTTATCCAACCGATTTCCTTGTATATTTCCGCGAGATTATTTTCGTTTTCACATTAAGCGAGATTCTCTCGGTAGCCACAATAATCAGAGATCGACAACGTGCCTGATCGGCAAGATCTACGTGTTCACGCAGTTCACCGATCAAAGTCTGAGAACTGACTGGCCGGACACCTCGATCCGTTGGTGCCTTTATCGAGGAAGGCAAAGAAAGAGAAAGAGTGATGCACGCACTCCGACGAACGTGCCGATGGCTAAGCTCATACGTATATACGTATGAACGTGATATATACGAAAAGTATTTCACGGGGGGAGGGGACGTTATCGATCGTTGAAGACAGATATTTGTTCAATCTGGTCAATTCGCTAAATAATGGCGCCATTATTTAGCGAATTTATATTAATAATAACCCGCCATTCTAAGAAGGACTCATCCTTTAGGGTGACTCTTTGATCAAAAACTCTGATTAATTCACTATTTACTTGTCAAGTAATATCGACAATAATTTGTCAGCATATAATTTGTTAAAATAATTATAAATGGAAATTAGAATAAATCAAATAGAAAAAAAATCTTATTTTTTATCAAAGCGGATTCTTGATGTTTAATATTCATATAGATTTACATTTTTCAATTTTATAAACTGCGCCGATTCGATTTGTTGAACGCAATTATAAAATAAAGCTAAACATAACAAGTTACAATGATATTTAATTTAATAATGATGCTAATAAACGTATTAAAACATAGTGAAGAACTTATTGCAAAAAATATAAGTAATTTATTAGAATTATTAATTTTTGTGTAGCACAAAAGATAAAAGAGGTTTCTTCTTTGAGAAATAGATAAAATCAGGAATATAACGAAGTGTTAGAAACTGCACAATAAGCAATTCTACCGGTTGAATCAAACGGAATTTAGTTCGGAATCAAAGTTATCTCCTTAAGGAGGCTTAACTAATTTTATCTCTCTAGAGCTATTGTGCAATACTCGCAAATAAATTCGTTGTAAGTCGTAAATTTTACTTGCTGTAAATCATAATTAATCTACTTACGCTAAATACGTAAATTCTCGTTGCATCTAAAATATAAATACACGTTAATGTTTGCAGAAAGTGTCACGTGTGACTTACGTGAGTCATACACGTGCGTCGCGCATTCATTAAAAGTTTTTTCAATGAAAAATAGCACAGAATGTTTAAAGGGACGTCTCATCAACATTGTAAAATTGTTTGTTCTTCTTAAGTTAAGACGAACGCAAATCATCTGTTTCCCGTTGGAAAATCTCGATTTGTCATTCGAAAATCTGACGCAACGTTCACATTTTTTTTAAGATAACGCGAGTACTCAAGTAATATAACGACAAAATTGCATTACACCATTACCGAGATTAAGAACGTAAATATACAGACAAAAAAAATTTTAGGAATTTTTATATACACACCTAGCAATGCAATCGTTTCATTCCGTAGCAAAGACAAAGTATTTTTTGCTCGATCTATTTTTATTTCATTTTTGATAAAAAGGAAACCACAGGTATTATCCGGTAGATATTCGAGTTATCTTATTGGAAATCACAACGAAGACATTCTTTGAAAGTGACGTAATCGCTGGCACATCGCCACGTCATTTACCGGTTCGAGCCTCCAGTGAACTTATTAATATTTCACAAGTAATTCAACTGGCGCTTCTTCGAAGATCTTAATCAATCAAGTGTTCGCTCCGGCGGGGTGCGTCTGTTCCACATGTTTTAGCTTTATGTACAAAACGCAGCGGGGTGCAACAAACTGAGTGCAAAGGAAGACTGGGCTGGCGTGGGCCTTCGCAGGGGTGTCATAGCAAGGCATAGAATTAGACTGTCTCTATTTTGGTCGATACGATGCAAACGACTCACGTCTATTCCGAACGTTCTTCAAAGAGTCATTATTATTGCTGTATTGTATCATAAACGTTGTTTAAACTCAACCCTTTGCGCTTTTTTCTGTCATTGCGTTCAAGTGACAGGACAAGATAAAGAAATAAGTTCTTTCAGAACTGTGCCGGATGAGAAAACAAGTATCTAAAACTTGCGTTACGTAAAAACATAATTTTCTATGAATAGAGCAGTTTTTTTGTTAAGAAAAAACAGTATTGATGTTTACACCATCATCGTTATCAAGATACAATCTGATGTTATTAATAATACGAGATGTAAATTCAAATTGCGTGATTTGCATTACCGTGTCTGTTTCTCAACGAAAGAGTTTTCCTCTGTGTGTGTGAATTCGAAGGAAAACTCTTTTAAGACAAGAGTTGTTTACACGATCCAAATTAGAAATGGGTGGATTCATCGTTCGTGAAGTGAATTCGACTTTCACGTGGGTGACTTCTTTATTTTACTTTAGCCGACCTAAGCCCAGGTTACGGTCCAAAGTTCAGAATATAGAGATATGCCGCGGCGCCGTGACGTCATGTAGATTGTAACTTTGATTTTAATAGTCGTATCAGTTCTGTGTCACTCGCGTCTGAATATGATATCAGGAAGTTTCATATATAGACGAATATGTCATTATAACGATTGATAAAGTCTCAGATCCCGGGACTAGGCTATAAATATAACACTTGACGTAGAATGCACAATCTCTTCTCACGACATGAGCGTACGCTCGTCTAGTAAAATGAGAGAGATGAGAGACGAAGGAGCGAGAACCCAATGACGTACTCAGAAAGAGAGGAAGAGAGATGCGTAACTAGGAAATCTATGTTGTGACGTCTAAGGTATCCTATACACGTAATGGAAGTGTCCAGCAGACGCGCGCGTCACGTTAAAATACCCTATTACACTAATTAAAATTCTCAAAAGAGGATCTCTGTATATAGGAAAAAAAATGACGGTATTCAATTTGAGTCTGACGTAAAACGTTGCAATAATAGTAAATTACCTCTTTTGAAGTTTCCAGAAGAGATTTCTTTTAATTATGTCTCTTTTTACGCTATATGAATATATCTTCTATCGAGAAATAAAAATAATGAAATGAGAATCTTATTTTAAAAAAAAAAGAAAAAATATCTATTTTGGATTAAGATTTTAGAAGAGAAATTTCATGTATACTTTGACAATATAAATAAAAACTCGATGACGGATTCAATTTGCAGCTAATTCGATTTCAAGTAACTCTTTCTTCTTTAACATTTTATGATTCTTCTCATTGAAGAATAAAAAGGAAGCAAAATAAAGAATGAGAAGATTTATGTAGGCAAAGCGAACGAAATTGATATTCACATGGAGAGCTCAATGCTTCTCTGTCTATTATAGTATCCGCTTCAAGCTCGCCTCAAGAACTATACTGCTCTCTGTTAAGATATCCCACAGACTCCGAAGTTCACAAACGGTCGGTAACACAGCGTATTTACGTGGCACTTAGAATTAATGAGTTTTTCATTAACAAATTTTATCATCAAGGATCACGACCGTAAACGGCGATGAACCATCGTGAAAGCTTTTCGCTCTGAAAGAACGATGCTTTTTAAGTGCTGAAAATTTCGAGAAAGATGTTCAAGTACCCGATCGAAGACACTCGTTGAACAACAATCTCGTAAAATATTGAACTTTCAATAAAACTTTCAATATACGTAAAACCGTCCCGGAATTATTTATGTCGTAAATGTACGTTGCGATCGCAACAACCCAAGTTTTTCTTGCAAGGCTCGCCAAGTCACACACACATACATGCATATACACACGTAGAGGGTCTAGTTCTCGGCGAATGAAATCTCTCTTGGCTTCGGAAACTTCGGAACATAAAACTTCACCATCCGCCTTTCCTTCATATATGCACTTCGCATGAATTATTAAAGCGTTAGAGTCAGCAGGTTGTCCGCATTTGTATATTTGTGCATAAGTATACTTCGCTTGGTTTACATTACCAATATCTTTACATTACCAATATCTTTACATTACCAATACCTTTCTTCTCTCACTATTTCGCATCGCGCTGTCTTTCTCGCATTTTCATTTTTGCCTAATAAATCAACACGCAACGGTCGGTCCCGCAACCAACGCGCTCTTTGATCCTATCGAGAACCGATGTGTATATGATGTGCAAATAATTATCTAAATCACTCGATACGTAGAAGTAATTTGCATACGTAATAAAATTAAGCGTCAGAGTCGTATAAAGAACTAAACGGATCCATGCGTTTCCGCGAACGTTTATCGCCAGCATTTTCTCTACGACTTACCTTTCAAAGATCAATTTCTAAAGATGATGATGATAATAATAATTTAATACTTATCTACGATCAATAGGCATAAAGACTACTTTAACGAAATGATTTCTCTCTTTTTTTTTCTCCGGGTAGACTTCGCGCGGGAAATTCTTCGTTCTATCGTGGAATATTCGATGGTGTACCGTTCGTGCGATCGCAGACACAATCGCAAGGTTTCAAGAACCGGATTCAAGGCAATGCGGGCTTCTTTTCGAGCCGAAGGGCCGAAACGCGACGTCACGCGCGAAATTGTCGCGAGTCTCGCGTGCATCCACGGTCAGTGACGTCGGTTCCTCTGTCCGTGCACTCATCGTGCGCTCCTCGGCGACCGCGCATCGACATGGTCCACCTGACCTTGGCGAATGTATTTCTCCTCGTCTTTGCTTTAAATACGCAAGTAAGCACATCAGGAGCTGTTATCAGTCTCGAAACTCAAAATAAGCTCTGATTGCGATAAATCAGAAATTATAAAAATACAAGAGGACGTGATTATTTCGACAGCAAGTCATTCTAAACGTAAAAAATGAAGTCATTTTTACGCATTAAAAAAGAGATCCAGCGCTACCTTTACGACTTTTTTTTCTCAGTATAAACCATCTTTCCCGAAAGTTAACAATTCTTTTTCGATAAAAGTCCAGTAATTAAACATTAACGATATTTACCGTTGCCTTGTATGACTCTTCTTTCTCATGGCTGAACTGCCTTTTCCGAAAAATATAGTAATTCTTTTTCGACAAAAGCTTTCTAGCAATTAAATAAATACAACCCAAGTATTCCGGACAGCTTTCTTCCTTCTATCACGAAATTGCGTTTCTCACAATCCCTTTATATATACGAGATAATGCAATTAATTCTCAGTTCGCGTGCGTCGATTGCAGGTACGGAAATATGGCTTAATGCGACCTCGTCGGGGACCGCCATGATCTTTCTCCCTCTTCTCCCTTCCACGCGCCCTTTTTAATAAAAATATTTTCCCCCTTCGGCCCCATATCGCGGCCCTTTCCCCTACTCGAGAGAACCCGACTTCATCCCTCTCTCTCATTCTCCCGTTCCCTCTCGCTCGATCGCTCGTATCGTGGTGTTGGGGTGAACACGATTCGGGATCCCCCTCACTGGAGGCACTTAGCGTGAAGGTATTTGTCTATCGAAAACTATACCCTCGTAGCTCTCGCGCCGAGGCCGAGAAGTCTGTCCCCTTTGTATACGCCCTTTTAGATTCCCTCGCGTTACGCACGAGAATTGTGCCTGTTACTCAGATTTGGAGTGTGCAATAGTTGGCGACACGTGCCCGATTTGCGGACACGATGGAGAGGCAGAGAGACATCAACTCCGAATTTATCCGATCGCGCCTTTTCCCGTCGACGTATTTATTGTATTTGTCGCGTTCGCGACGCGCAAATTGCGCCGCTAAATAAAATGTATAACTGTAGGAATTTATATCAAAACACGGAGATAATTCGCAAACTGCTTCTTTGACAAAAATATCCGTGGAAGTCACAAAGTAGTACCGTAATTTATAAAAAGATAAATGAAAAGGATGATAAACTTATAAGTTACTTAATTCTCTCTTCGCTCAACATATATTACGTTCAAAGGTTAAAATTGTACGCTCTTGTTATCGTATCGGTATGCGAACACCATTAGTTATCGGTTAAAAATATACGTTTCGTCGGCGTTCGCATACAATAAATCAAACAAATTTACGTTATTTAAAAAAAAATAAGATAGCAAAGTAGACACCGACGCGTTATCACCCGATTTAAATTTCATAGATATTTCCGTGAAATTTCGAGTTCCAACGCGAGCGGAGTTTCCACCACAACGCGCGTTGCCCCCCGCAACCATTCTAGATATCTTCGATCCACACTGTATAGGCGTGTGCATACGCGCACGCATTATGCGTGTCGAGGGTTCTGAGCGAGAGGGTAACGGGGAGCGGGAGGGGTGAGGGTGGATTTTGTTTCGCGAAGTGCAACATGATGTGGGGACGATTAGACGATCATAAAGCTTAACTTTTTTCCAATGATCGACCTTCAGCAATCAATCGGAGCTATTGTGGCCGACGTTACCTTCGGTACACTCTGTATACGCGTGCATATACAGTGCAGAGGCGTTCTCCCTCTTTTTCCCTCCCTTTCTTCTTTCTTTGTCTCTCTCACTTTCTCTCTCTCTCTCTCTCTCTCTCTCGATCTATCTCCCGCTGGAACCTTATCTATCTCCGCCACTCTCTCTGTCCGTCTCTCTTCCTCTCTTCGCGGTCGGTACTCCGCTCGCGAGCCGCTGCCTCGGGGCGAGGGATAAGAGCGTATCAGTGCCGTCACCATTTATAATCGTACCCTGTTCCAAAGTCCGGAATGTTGAAAACGATCTCTTTTTACAATTTTACTCTGCGTCACGTTTAATATATAACGAAATTATAATACATGTTTAACATCGCTGCACGGAGATATTCGGAATCGTAAATTTCATATGCAATTTGACATCGTAAAAATCTGTTTACTTAAAAAGAAAGTTTCTCAAAAACTTTCAGAACATATCATTGGTTAAAGAGATGTCGATACTCTTGTAAGATATTTTTATAACGTTAGAAGTACATCACACCTACTACAAAATATTTGGGTCTTCAATATACATATGTAAAATTCAAAGAATATTAAATACGGTCATTTTCGTTATATTAAACCAACCTATGAATGGATCCAAATATTCTACCCCTTAAAAAAGTTAAGATACAATATTTACTGACAATAGATATAATTATTCACTGAGAAAAATGTTCGAAATCGAAAGTATCATTTTGAAAAGTGCACGACCGCCGTCTCTTCTCGAGTTGCATGAAGAGCGCGTCCGCTCGAGCCGCACCTGCGTTGCGATTCCGCGGAGCGGGGGCGGCCGCGGCCGCGGCGGCGTAGAGGAAGGCAACGAGGAGGCACCACCGTCAGGCCAGTAGCTCCCAGACAGTGACTTCGCGTGTAGCGCGTAACCGGTGGGCGACCTGCAACGCCCGCACCGTGTGTTATGTCATCAATGACAATCCCAGGACGCGGTGCTTCGAATCCGGCATGGATAAACGCGAGTGATCGATAAAGATTAAGTGGATGCACAGTGGGTATTCCGCCACCAACGAAACGTACGGATTGATCTTGCAAACTGAGAGTTTGCCGAGGTCCACCCCAATTTGATTTCCGCGACTTCCCGAACGTCGCCCGGCACGTTTATCTTCCCTCGTGGTATCGGTCTCTCGCGTTTCTCAAAGGGAACCCTTTGCACTAGACAGTAACTATATAGTTAAGCTATATCAGCGAGAGACTCGTTTGGTCGCCTGATGGGTCGAACTCGATGTTCGGCGAGTTTGTGCGAGTCGACGCGCTACGGCGACGAGCTTCGATGAGGATCGACTCCCGCGCCCGTGTCGCTCTTGCGTATTTCTATTCGGCGGCGCGACATCAACGGTGTCACGGTTCGATAGCCGGATGAACGCCGGCGACCCCGTCTGTTTTAGCGGCGTCGGCGGGGCGATCGAGTCTGGGATCGGAAGTACGAGTGTATGAGCGAACGTCGACGAGCTCTCGTAGTCACGACGAAACGATAACGACGAAGCTTGGTGGTCACGACAATTTGGTCCCGGATCGGCGGCGGAAGCTTCGTTCCGGGTCGACAATGGCGCGATGGCCTTGAGGATCGATCGCGCGGGAGCGAGTCGGGTGAACGGTCGGGGTTTCGGTCTGGCGCGATTGAATCCGCGCGATCCACACGCCGCGTGATCGTTTCGCGCGTGCCTACCGGGTGTCTATGATGCGCGGAACGGTAATCGGACAAACGCGTCGTCATCATGTCGAAGAGACACGTCGTCGAGATGTGCGGAAACGCGAACGGAAGTATGTGAACTACGAGACTAAGTCATACACGTAGGCAGGTTGCGCGCGCGTGCAAAGAAAATCGCGTGTCGCATTACGCGGTGGTTGCAATAATCCGATAACGCTCGCCGGTTGTCGCTGAAATCATCATCGATCGATCATCGGCGGTTGAGTGACCGGAAGCGATCCCGTCGGACGAGAGAGACAGAGTAATCGTTCGTTGAATGGAGTAATGAGCGGGGCCCCTGCGTGGGGCACAGTGCCCCGTCGTCAAAGACGCCACCATCATCACCACCATCATCATCAGAAACATCAGAAGCGCGTCCGGGACGAAGAATCACGGAACGAAACGCTGGATGAACCCGAGGAGAAGCGACCGAAGGTCAACCCGATCTTCCTGTGGGCGTCGCAGCGTGAACAGAAGATCATCGAGGTGAGATGCGAGGACTACGATAAACGTAATCGCATCAAGCTCACCAAGACCGCGCAAGGATGGCGTTCGATACCGCGCACCACGTCCAACATGTACACGATTTCTCTAGCCGCCACCTGCAAGAAGACGGATATGGCCGATACGTCGCCGGCCTCATCGGTCTCGTCCAACGACGAGAAAGAGAACGGCAAACGATGTCTTCAAGAGCCGGCGAGCGCGACGGCGAGCTCCCTTCGATGCCATCCGCTAATATATTCGCCGAACGGCACGACGAACGGTTTGCTTACTGGCGAAGATGTAGGCAAAAAGAGGCAAGGATACGACGAAGAGACGAATCGTCGAGAATATTCCTCTCCCTTGGGAGCTCGCGACAAGGTTAACGATAGCGAGGATAGAGAAAAAAATAACAAAGAGGATAAGAATTGCGAGCAAAACCAGCCAAAGGATTGTTTATCCAATTTGAACAGTGAGGATAGTCAAGGCTGGATTAACCTGCAGAGATTGCAGATGAACAAGCTGTTTCAGCCGCGCGTCGTGCTAGAATTGCTGCATCTATCGCAACTTCCCGAGAGTGCGCATCAAAATGTCGTTCACCACGCGAAAAATAAGGACGCAACGGCGAATGAGACGAAGCGGACAGAGGAAAGTAACGAGCGGAATGAGGAAAATACCGTGGAAGAAGAGGACGAAGAGGAAAAAGAAGAAGAGATGGACAACGAAGACGTGGAGGAGGAGGAGGAGAGCAGCGAGAAATCGAATCGAATGAACAAGGCGGGTATTCAGGACATATTGAACATGATAGATGCTACAGCCTCGCCCGTTCTCGCCACTGATACTCCCAGTGCCGACTTGCCGGTGGACTCCACCAAGACTTACGAGGTCCTCGACGAGAAGCCATCCGTTGAAAGACAACAAGTCAAGGACGCAGAGCTCGACGAGAAGGATCAAACAAGGAGTGTATCTAGTTACGAGACTGAAATTGTCGACCAAGACGGCGAGATTGACGATAAGCTGGAGGTGCACGAAGAGAAGATCTTAAAAGATCTGTCAGATTGCTGCCTGCAGGAGATGGAAGACACGAAGATCCAAATGGAGAATAATCTCGGGCTTCTTTCACTGGAGAATAATGCCGAGACGACTCCGAATTCTTGCAAAATCGCCGAGGCCGACGGCGGTTTCATCGTCGGTCGATCGAAATGCAGATCGAAATCTGTCATCACGTGGCAGTCGAGCATACCGACCGAGGAAGAGGAAGCGCCAGACGAGCCCGGCGACCCGTTGAAGCTCGATTACGACAGCTCGAGAATCCTCGACGCCCTAAGGAATACGCCGGGAATCTCGGTGTCCATAATGAGAAATGACACGCCTGAGGTCGGCAAGAATCCGATCGTACCGCCTGCGAGGCCACCCTCAAAGGCATCTTCGTCGAGCAGGTCGCCCGATTCTCAAGCGGAATGCGTCGAGAAGCTATTGAAGAACGCAAACTTCGACGGTTCGCCTCGTAATCTGCCAGGTCTATCGATCGTTATACCGAACTACCGCTACAAAAGTGTCTCCGGTAAACTAACAACCTCACCGAGCATAAAGCAGCGTGTCGAATCGCCCGAAAGCACCGTTAGTTTCAACAAGGTTGACGCGTATCCGGAGGAAATGAAAATGAATGAGTTTCCTCACGAAGAGGACGGAGACGAGGAAGAAGATGAGGACTGCGACTCGCAAGTTATGGAAGACCTTAGACAGCAGAAAGCGGATTCACTGGCGTACGACGGTATCGACGCGGATTACTACAACGGGAACAGTACCAAGAACAATCAGGAAGATCGTAAAATTCTACTGGAAAATGTAAAGGGCGATTCTGCCTGGATTAGCTCTGGCAAAAACAGTGAGGCGCAAGCCAAAGATAAAGCATCTGGATATCGAGATCTCGAGCACTTTGATGAGCAAGTCCTGGAGGAGCTGCGATCCCGCGGCACCGTAGTAGTCTCGCCACAGCCCAGCGGAATTCCTTGTTCTCCCGCGTCCAGGAGACCATCATCGGCTTATCTCGAGAGATTACTCCCTAGTCCGCCGTGTTCAGTGTCCTGCTCGGAGGATGCCAAGAGCGAAATAACGCTTAAGAGCATCCTGGCTTCATCCAACTGCGCGGATCTGCGAGATTATGAAAAGACAAAAGAGGGACTGATCCGGTCCGATCAAAGCGCCGATCAGCCTATTTCTCGACCCGTACACTCGAATATCGATAGAAATATGAAAAGAACTAATCAGCACAGCTTCCAGGAACGTCTGAACGTTCACAATCAAGAGGTGAGGAACTCTGGCAGGCCAATGTCCAGCGGCGACATTCACAGTATCTTTTATGCGATGACTGAGCGAGTCGCGCCCAAGAGACCAATGTCTGCCGAGTGGCAGACCGGACAACGGCATAGGAACCAAGCCGTTTATTACCAAAAGACCGTCGATAGAACGAGGGGTCGCTTCAATGATCAGGAGCAAGATCAAATTACTTGCGCCACGTCCAGCAGCACTGATAAACTCCTAGATCCGGCCAGACAGCTCCGCGAATTAATCGAGACCGTCGGCCATCTGATCCCCGATCCTCTCCTAGTTCCTCGCGACTATTTGCCAGGTCTGGCTGCCGCACCGGCGACGGAGATACCGAAGTTACTAGCCAGCAGACCCGAACTCAGGCTACCCGAGGCTCTTACCAGGCCCGACCTTCTTCGGGATCCCGATCTGCTCGTGATATCGCTAGCGCATCTGCAGCACGTATTGGACCATGGCGAGGGCCCAGTCTCCAGATCGCAACAATTGCAGCCGCGGCAACCTAGCACCGTCGTTAACGGCACCATTATTAAAGGACTGTCTGGTTCGGCAAACGGTAACGGCGTGAAAGACGGCGGGTTCACCGTTATTACTAGCAGACCCAAACTCAGTTGCAAGCCGATTTGCACGTTGATGCCGACGCAGCCCATGGACTTATCGAATGGCGGCCGATCGCGCATCAACCACTATTCGCCCTTGCTCAGAGTGCGCAGCGGATTGCTTAAGCAGGAGCCGGAAGTGAGCTCTACTGCGAGCTCGCCGGACGAGTCGCAACTATGGCATCCGTTATTTGGCAGGTAAACATTAATCTTTATGTTTGCTTTTTTTTCGCCTTCCACTTCACACCGTCGTCTCAAGTTTCCTTTGCTAATCCGACTCTGTCGAGCAAGTGAAAAAGAACGGACTGATCGTGCAAATAGCATCGTCAGATAATAATAATAATATAAAAAAGCTAAAATTTCATAACAGAGATATAGAAATACCGATTGAAATCTAGTAGACTCCAATGTGAGGTCCAAAGATTAAATTTGCTTAATCGTTTTCGAGAAACCGTATCTTGTTTAAGTATTCTCTTATTGTTAGTAAATTACAATTTAATCTCGCTAATACGGGCAACTGAGAGTAATTCTACGCTGTTTTTGGTGCGCCAAATTAATAATTTAATTTGTTACTATACATACAAATTGTTTGTTCGCATGTGTTTCGTCTGTATTATATTCGACTTAATTATTTGAACGTTTCGGACCCTTCCGAGCCATCTTCAGCAAAATAATTCATTAGAGTGTATCCGTCGACAAAGTTTTCATATGCAAATGCCGGATGAGCCTCTTCCAACTTCTCGATTGAAAGTGTTGACGACATTTTTTTGAACAATAAAAATCTTATTTTTAGATCGTACAATGTGAGAAACACAATTAATAATAGAAATTCAACAGCCTATACCGGTCGCGAAGCTAGATCTTTAATGCTTTAAATAATTCAATGTGAATTATATATATACTATATATGTACTTGCATATGTAACATATTTGTAGTCCTTCAAACTGCGCGCTGAATTGGTTTTCCGGACTTATAAACATAATTAAACTACTGAAATAATATCACGAATTAAATTAAATTGACAAGCAATTCTTAAATAATTTTGATGCACAATCAGGCATCAAAATAGCAAGATGTTACTGTGCTGAAAAACTGTAAATAAATTTATTGCGAAAAATATTACCTCTGCACGCAGTTTGAAGGACTACAAATATGTTATATATATGCAGGTACATATATAGTATATATATAATTCACATTGAATTATTTAAAGCATTAAAGATCTAGCTTCGACCGATATAGGCTGTTGAATTTCTATTATTTTTTTGAACGCCTTTGTCATCCTTACATATGTATTCGCCCTCAATTTGATATAATTATTCGATTTCTGGCAGATTTCTATACTATAATATTAAAATAATAATAATAAATTTCGAATGTATAATAATAATAATTCTCAAATGTTTTATATGTGCTTGTAAAAAGCTCAGTACATATATGATCTGTTGTATTAAAAAAGTATTAAATTTCTACAGAATTTTATTTCGATAAAATACTAAATTAATGCGTTTTAAATTGAATCACATATTTATTTCTGTCGAAGTAAACAATTCTATTAATGCTGCGAAAATTACGAGCGAATGATGAATTTGAGGCTGCCCAAGAATAATCGGAATGAAATTGAATGATAGCAATTATTATATATTTTTCCCGCTGGGTTATCTAATCACATAAATTACACTGTAATAGTTGATATAATCAAACGTTCATTCAGAGCGCGATATATATCCGATGAAACGCACGGAGGACGTGCTAGCGAGTGGACGGCACTTCGGATATATTTAGAGCGAAAGAGGTGAACGGAGGAAACGTAAAAAAAAAATGAACAAAGTGGCATCGATGCTTCGCGTACTCGCGCGCAAATAGGTCGGCCTTAATAACGATCGTGACGATCCGGGTGCACGAAAACAATGCTGTTGACTCCATCGAGTGATCACGAAGGCGAGAGACGAGCAAAGAGACGATAAAGCGCGACGACGTTGAAAGAAAATCGACGTCAGAGTCACAGGAATAATAATAATAATAATAATTCTCGAATGTTGACGATCGCAGGAAATACATTTATATGTTGGTCCCTTCCGTGTCTGCTATTAACACGCGACGACATGTTTGCACGCATGGAAAATATGTTCCTGTCCCATAAATGATTAAATTTGTATCATTTGTATCGATCGTCCGCATGGCTCGAGAAATTCATCATATCTTTATGAATATGAATCGCGGGGCGAGAGACTGCTGCTCTACGATTCCGTTTGATTCGCCGATCCCAAGTGAAATCGACGATTCGCGACGGTGATGTGACGATCGTCGTCGGTGTGACGGGATTCATTTGCATCTTAATACTGACGAACCAGCCACACTATCGCGACGTGACTAACAAACTCTACTCGAGCTTGCCACTCGAGCTTATAACGAGCCGATCGCACGTCGTACAGCGACACTGTTAAATATTTAAATTAGATCGAACGCCCGTGCGACAGGGCGCTCTCGCGCCTCCTACGTCGACAAGTCGAGCATGATTTACACCTTCCTCACGGAGGCGTCGCGAGAAGGATTGATGACCGTTGTTAAACGTAATTAGCAACAGAAATAACGTTTCGTGAAAAAAAAAAAAATGAGTCGGACCGCGATAGCAAAAGTTTCCACATAAAGCTATATTTCAGTAAATTTCCACTCGTTGCTCGTTTTCAAGACGAGCTCTTTTATTCTCACTGTCTACAAAATTTTACGAAGTTCCACGTTTTACGCGTCATCTATTCAAAGCTTAGAATAGAATCCTCGAAATTGTGATATATCGAAATTTTTGGCTCGCTCGAGATGGATAGTTTATCTCACGGAGGAAATTTTGATCAGGAAGTCGCCAGTTTCTCGATCCTGCGGCAAATACTCTGTAGCTAATTGATGATCGAGACGTCTCTAATTAGGATCGCCTTGCTGCACGATTGGTTGTATTGGCACAACGCGAAATTGGGTCGTGGCAACGCTTCTCGTCCTATGTTCGTTTGTCTACGCCTAATTTGTTAGCTCGATCACGACATCGACGACGACGGCGACGACGGAAAAGCGTTATTGCGCAAGTCCGCATATTTAGGATTCATAGGCTCGAATATAGATTCGAAGGACCGATAAGAATACGTGGATAGAAAGGACAAGGTTATCTGGTGACTGTAAGTTAATTCTTCATAACGGTCACGCCAGGAAGGACATCTACGATTTATTATGTTTAGATCGCTTGGAAGTTGCTTCGATAAATCAGCCTTGGATTAATTTTATCAGTGTAAGACTACTTTCTCGTTTGTCCTTCGAATGACGTCTAAATTGTAATAGAATAATAAGTTTGTTTATTCTTTTCCCCATTCAGGGAAAATGTAACTATGTCACGCTGTGATAAAATTCGTCGTTTTACGTATTCACATTTTATATATTCGTCATTATCAAATCGTTATTTATCGTTATCAGAAACAGCCATTTTTATTCGTATTACATAAAAACATATTTTTCGACGTGAGAAGGAAAAAATAAAGATATTTTAAATTTATAAAAACATTTATTTTAAAATTATTGTAATGAACAATTCTGTTTTGAATACAAAGTAAACCGTGAAATTCATTAATTTTACCTCATTAGGTAACCAACGAAAATTTCTTGTTTTCGTCATGTTTGCGGAAATTAGTATCCGTTGATTATCGATTCGCCATATCAGAAGAGTAGCTCGTATTTAATTCTCTTCGTATCTCGTTAATGAAATGCGAGGAACAAAAGGACTTCGTCAATTAATAGACGCGGGTCGCTCAAAAGAGACAAAGAGAGACCGACCGGAAAGTCCCGGTCTCTCGGGATTACACGGTGCTTGATCGCGCGATCTGCGCGACGTAAACACGAGCACCAGCCAGCACTATACGTTTGCACATGCACGGCCTCGAAAGGCACGGGTCCCGAACGAACGCCCTTTCGCCACGGCAGAGCACTTGTGTAAATAGCATTAGGATGCTACTCTCCGCCAGCGAGCGGACGGACGGCTTTAATGAGAGGGAGAGGCATTAGAGGAGGGCCCTCGTCGTCGTCGTCGTCGTAATCGTCGTCGTAGTCGTCGTTGTGTGTGACGTCGACACGGAACATTCATCGATCGGGCACAGGGAATTCGAAAGCGCGGAGGGTCGCGGTGAAGAGGAGGGAGAAATGCTGGACAGGAAGCAAAAATTTCACCAGGGTTTAACCCTCTCGCGAACGGCCGGGTGATCGGGAGGGAGGCAGGGAGAAATCAATTCGTTATTCCGGTGTAACGATCTCGCTCTGAGAGGATTGTCCCGGGTATTCCTATTATTTTTGAATATTCAGACCTGAATTACGATAAAATTTCATTTTGCAGTTCGAATTTCGAATGTTCAGCAGCTCTCTGTTCAAGCAGTGTTTTAGTTCTGTTAGGTGTACAGAAGGTATGGTTTTGCTGAAGTAACTAAACATTTAGCTAGATACAGATCTGGAAAGAATTTTGTTACAACATCAAAATAATTATGTAGGAACTTCAAGCATGATAACAATACTGGAAAATTTTTACGTTCTAGCAACCAGTTTGAGCATTATACATAATTATTTTGATGGTCAAACAAAATCATTTTCAGATGTGTATATCTAGCTAAATTTTGAAATACTTGAGGAAAACTATTTTTTCCGTGTATATAAAAAATAAAATGATTTTGTAATAAAATAGAGAAAGAACATACGTATATGTGAAGAAATGCGTTAAGAAGAATCGTTTTATCTATGTAAGCAGAAGGCGATATCATATGTCTTCGATATGGAATTACATTGTGCGCATCATGTAACGACAATATTTTTTTCTATTATTTGTCCATACGGCAGCACTTCTTGCATAATTCTCTTGCATAATCGCGTCATTCTTCACATGGCAACCGTCGCAGAAAGAGTTCGGCTGAAAAAATGTCTCAAAGAGTATCGCTCCGATTAGTATTCGTCGTGCAACTTTGTAAATCAACAGGATGTAATGTACATCACCCGTTGATAAGATTTTCTGCTCGTGTTGCAAAAAGCACGCGGCGTCGTGCAACGTCGACTAATCAAGTGATAATTAAAAAAAACAGCTCTAATGTCGTTCTCAATGATGTAACGATCGATAGAAAACAGCAGGAAGGGTCGCACATTATCATCCCTGTCTTCGTGATTAATTCACATGCCG